CATTCTGTTAAGCCAAAAAACGTTACCACGGTAAGTTATGAAATACCAAATTATCATAATTTAAAAGACTGCACGCCAAAATGCAAGTTCTAGGAAGTAATTGAGTGGAAGACACGATTTCTAAGACAAGAACTCTATTCGCCTGACGTTTCATATTTATGCTCGAACCCATCATCAACTAGGGGGCCTCCATGCACAAGAGATAGCAGCATTTGCAGAATGCAGTAGGATCTCTCAAACGAACATGAATTTGCACTGGGTATCGCCAATTTCTAGTTGGAAATTTGGGTCGATGCGTCGGGTCAGTTTATTACTTTTAGTGGGAGTAGGCATGTCTCTCTCCTGTAAATGTAGCGATGCATTGTAAAGGCCGCCGACAATTTACTTACCCTTCACCAGACGCGTAGATTTCCTTGGCATCGGTCTCAGCCAGCTGAACATTAACCAATTCATGCACATTTTCTTCGGTCAGCTTTTTCAGTTGAAGAGCCGTCGGTTCGTCTCGTTTGCCACTTAGCAATAGAGCCAGCGCGTCTCGAAAGTCTCCACTGGTATCGTCGTTGACATCGCCTTCAAGTGTTCGGTCTATATTAAAACACAAATAACTGTCTACTGATTGCAATTTAAGTAGACGTGATTTATTGTCAATTTGAATATTACTTCGGAATCGAAGGAGGACGACGACGGCGGTCTGTTATGAATTTGACATTCTCATTTTCCAGGTAGTATGAGCTCTAAAATACTGATCGCAGATGTAGTGAAACTTTAAATAATTATTTCAGGAAATAATTAATCCATTTTCGTAGATACTATATGTTGTGAAACCATGGCCGCTGGTTCCTTTAAGTGAGACCAATGAAAATGAACGGAGGGCTAATTTTGTTTGTACCGCCGAATGGGCAGAGTAAGGAAGACATTGTCTACCGAGTCGATGCTACTGGTCGGACTTTCAAAGTACCTACGGATCCCACGCGACATCTCCATCGGCGAAGACTAGAGGTATTTGACCAGCACTGATTGGATACTATCCTTCTTACTTGTACTTACTTGGACTTTTTACGGCTGTGATCATGACTGATCTAGCCGGCCTCAATTATGTCCCGTATGG